TTTCACCTTACAGTTTGTGTAGCGTTGTGATTTAGCGCTTAAAAAACATTTGTGGATATCTTCGAAACCATTAGACCAATCGAGATGAAACCACCGTCAGAAGTTTGAAAACATAGGTCGTTGGCTATATGCTAATGCCCAAATGTCAAAATATGAATAGTAAGTGGCAAGAAAATGCAAACAAAGTCAGGTGTGGGTCATTTTTTATGTTTATTCATATAAATGTCTATAACTTCAAAACAAAATGAGATATTTTCACCAAATTTGACACATATGTATGGGCTCACTCAGAGGACACTTAAAAAAATAGTGGGATTGTGGCTCTTGTTGGCGCTTTAATAGAACAAAACATGGAATTCCCATTGACTTCAATACAGTATTGTGATTATAAAATGTTATACTTTATGAACACATTATCGTATCGTTACGAAACTCTGTATGAATCATCGGCACCATGCCTTGAAGGTACTTAAAAAGTTTCGGGCAGCGCCACCTTGTGGTAAAACATTTATAACGGAATTTACAAAAATGCTAATAGCTTTTGAATAAATGTGCCTATTGTAATGACACTGGTCTTAATAGATTCCTTGGGTTATGCCAAAAACATAGATGTCAATTTTGCCATAGTCAACCAAACTTCCTGTCCTCCATCTTTATTTTCTTTAAAACCTATTTTTTCGAACTTCTCCTAGACCGTTTGATGATTTTCACCAAAATCGAATCGTGTCATCTTTTTTTTTATTTTTTTTATTTTTTTATTTTTTTATAAACCTTTATTTAACTAGGAAAGTCACATTGAGGTTAAAACCTCTTTTGCAAGTGAGACCTAGTCAAGACAGTGGTCAGATAGCAGGATTTAAACAAATTACAAACAATAATAAGAAACCAATCACAACATCATGTTGTATCATTAGATACAACAAAGACACAACAAAACAAATCTCCATGACAACATGTTATACAACACCATGACACAACAAAACGCAAACATTTAGGTACTACATAATGCCCTACATACTACTATTCACAGAAGCAAACAATATTAAATCATAAATTTAATAAAAAGTTAAGTGGTACTGGCATTGGCATAGCAACTACAGTTAATAGTGACCACCTCCTTTATTCGATATTTAAAATCATTTAAAGAAATGAGGGATTTTAGTTTAAGTTTGGACTGCAAATCGTTCCAAGACCAAGGGCCATAATAGAACAGACTTAGCTTTCCAGCCTCTGTTCTGATAGCAGGGACTTTGAACTGAAGCCATTTATGTGACCTGAGATTGTGACCGCTTTGAAATGATGAAAATTTCCTGTTTAAATAATTTGGAAGTTTTCCTAAAATGACCTTATAAATTAAAATATACCAGTGTTCGAGCCTGCGCAAATGAAGAGATGACCATCCTAATAAATTGTACAATACACAATGATGTGTCCTAAAACTACAGTTAGTGACATATCTGAGTGCTGAATGATAGAGGGGGTCAAGTTTGGACAGAGTGGACAGAGAGGCAAACCTGTAAATGGTGTCTCCATAATCAATCTGGGATAAAAAAAGACCAGCAACTAAGCGTTTACGTGAAGCCAAGGAGAAACAAGACTTTAGCCTATACAGAAAGCCCAATGTGAATTTTAATTTCTTTGCAAGATGATCAACATGGCATTTAAAATTTAGGCTTTTGTCCATCCAGATTCCCAGATATTTATAATTATCTACAGACTGGATACAGACTCCATCCAGTGACGTGATGGATAGGGATGGTAGTTTTGTACGCCCAGTATTAAAAACCATGACTTTAGTTTTGTGTGGGTTTAAAAGCAGCTTTAAATCTAATAAAGCATGTTGCAGGGTATCAAAATCTGCCTGCACTTTAGAAAAGGCCAACTCAGCTGTGGGGGCACAAGAGTACAGAACTGTATCGTCTGCATACAGATGATACTTACAAAATTTAAGCTTGTCACAAATATTATTAATATAAAGTAGGAAAAGCAAGGGTCCCAAAACTGAACCTTGTGGAACACCCTTTGTAACAGGAACTGGATTTGACATATCATTACCATGTTTGACCATTTGCGAACGATTGGTCAAATAGCTATAGAACCATTTGACTGCATTGCGACCAATACCAGCTCTCATCAGGGTATATGAATGGTCCACAGTATCAAACGCCTTTGTAAGGTCTATGAACAGAGAAACACAGGTAAATTTATTATCTATAGCCTCTTTGAAATCATCCGTGACTTTTAAAGTGGCAGTTATTGCACTATGCCCTGACCGGAACCCGGATTGCATTTCATTTAAAATGTTAACTAATGATTCCAATATTTTTGAAAGAACAGGAAGATTAGAGATCGGTCTAAAGTTGTTCATATCATATCGATCACCAGCTTTGAAAAGGGGTGTAATATATGCTTGCTTCCATTTGACTGGAACCTGGTTAGAATTTAGTGACATGTTAAAAATGTGAGTAATAGGCTCAGCTATGACCGGTGCAGCCACCTTTAACAGGAAGGGATCCAGACCATCAGGTCCAGGCGCTTTTTTAGGGTCTATTGAGGTCAGTGATTGCAGAACATCTTGAACTTGTATGGCTTCAAAATCAAATGAGAAAGCGGAAGATGTACTAGGTAACACAAAACATGTTGAAGGATCAACTGAAATTGATGGAAGCTGTTGATCAAATAAGTGACCTGCCTTCTCAAAATGACCATTAAAGGCATTTAATATATAAATTTTATCAGTAATGGTTACATTTCCAATTTTCAATTCCTGAGGAAAGTCTGAAGCCTTTTTGTTCTGTAATACCTTAATTGTTTTCCAGAATTTTGATGGATTATTAAAATTATCATTAGTTAAAGTAAGATAATAATTTGATTTAGAGGTCCGAATGGCTGAGGTGCATTGATTTCTCAAAGTTCTGAAATTTTGCCAATCTACATTACTGTTGGTCCTCCTTGCGAGGGACCACTGTTTATTTTTTGATTGAATTAACTGGGCTAGTTCAAGAGAGAACCAAGGATTATCCCTATTCTTTATTCTATGCCTTTTGAAGGGAGCATGTTTATTTGCAATCAGTAAGAACTGTTCCTGAAAAAAAGCGACGGCTTCATCTATAGTAGGAATCAATGCAACACGATCCCAGTTCAGTCTTGCCAAGTCAGATAAAAAGGCCTGCTCTGAAAAGTGTTTAAAATAACGTCTTAAAACAGTGAGACCCTTGAGTTTAAGTATTTTGGTGTTTCTCACACATCCTATTACACAATGGTCGCTCAGATCGTTTGCGAACACACCTATTGCTGTATACTTATGAACCCTATTTATGTATGTTCATCTCCAGACCGTGCCGACTAAAAGTTATGGATTTCGTGACGATAGACAAAACCGTTTTCGTATACTGCAGCATCAAAGTTTAAGCATACTGCCAAAATTACTATTCAGGCTTTATCTCTGCAATGCCTTGACATTTTGACACCAAACTTTGTATGTGTCATTGTCACCTCACTCTGACCACACCACATACATTTCGTAACTGCGCCACCTATTGGTCGAAAGTGATAATCCATAATTACATATTTTTAGTTAATGTATATGATTTTTCTGCCATTTTGCCAAAATTAATCTTTAAATGTCTTTAATTGCTCCTTGCTGCAGTTGGTCTGACACTCCCAGCCATGTTGGCATCTCTTTTCGACTTCTTGCGCTTGGCCCTGATAATTGCTGCTTGCAGCTTTATTTATGTATGTTCATTGTTGTGAAATATAGTATACTACTCACCACATTGCATGTTTAATTCAGTGTGTCGTCCAGTTTTGTTTTTAAAGAAATGAATAATTTTATTCAGCTAAGATGCATTAAATTGTTTAAAAGTGACGTAAAGACATTTATGATTGACGTTTGTGTTAGAAAAGGTTTCTATTTCAAGTAAATGCTGTTACGGTTTACACAAAAGTATTAAGCAGCACAACTGTTTTCAACTCTGATAATAGAAGACTAGAGTAATGATGCCGAAAATTCAGTTTTGCCATCACAGAAATAAATTACATTTTAAAAGATATTAAAACAGCTATTTTCAATTGTAATGATATTTCTCAATATTGATGTTTTCACTGCATTTTTGACCAAATAAATGCAGCCTTAGTGAGCATAAGAGACTTCTTTAAAAAAAAACATTATACATTACTAATATTGTAGTATTATAATAGTGTGATATTATGGACTGATATTCTCGACCTTGGATTGTGTGGCATTCATAGTAGAGTTAATGGGTTTGATTGTTGTGGGTGCACTGCTGCCCTCTGCTGGCGGTGAGAAACTGGCTCAGGAGTTGTATGTGATGTGGCATTGTGAACACTCAGACCATAAACACACCATACAGTCCTGTGTGGCGAGCACAGCAAACTTGCAGCTATAAAAGTGGAAATACGACATAAACAGAATTTCCCAAAATATGTTACATGACCTTTTTGGGAATGTGATTTTGTAACTGACCAGATCCACTTACTTACTGTACTGAAATATTTCCTCTGATATTTTTAATCCAGCCTTCATTGTTTCAAGTACAAAAATGTGTTGAATATACTTATATATGTAATGTGAAAACCGAGTTACACTGATTACAGGTTATGTTTTAAAATATTTCGACATGAGTTTGTGTTGCAATATGTGCAATTTTGTTTGGTTTTAATTAGTCCTTCCTAAACTGATTTGTACTGAACAGTTAGGGCTCTCTAAATATGATCTTTCCACAGCTGGGGAAAATGAAGAGAAATTTCCTAGAGATGTGGCTATTTTTAGATAGGAAAATACACTCCAAAAAGTTTGTTTGTGGTTTTTCCATTTCAAATAAAGAAAAAAATGCAGAACTTTTTTTTCCCCTTAATGGGTACCATGGATCTCCTCCCTCCCACACACACACTAAACTACTTCCCCAGTATGCGACATCTGTAGTTTTGATTGGTGAATCAGTGCTCACTGTTGTTTCCTGTCGTTGTGTTTCTCACAGGTGGATAACGCCAAGGTTCTTCACTATGTTGGAGCAGGAGTGGCCTTCCCCACCAGTATGCTGTTTGTGTGTCTGCAGTCTGCGCTGACCTACCGCCTGGCAAAGACTCAGGGAGAATATAATATGGGTCATTTGCGCCTCTTTATGACCCTGCTGGCTTTTGTAGCCCTGGTGCTTAGTATCCTTTACAGTATCACTCATCCATATTGCTTTTATATTATATATTTGTATTAGGGCTGTCACAATATTAGATTTTTATGGTAACACTACTCATTTGTTCAAATTAGTTTATCCATTAAAGGTGCATTGTGTAATATTTAGGAGGATCTGTTGACAGAAATGCAATATCATATACATAACTATGTTTTCAGTGGTGTAAAAAGACCTTTACTTAAAGGAGCTGTATGTAAGAAATGTTTTTCAATTAATCATAAAATGGCCCTGGTGTGTCTCTAGACATTAAGAAATCATGTTCATTTCAAATACTTATATCACTGACAACAGTAGTACGGCCACGATATTGTCATTTAAAAAGTGCAGTTGCAGCCCTCAACTGATGTTGATGTTGTCATCTTGTGTTTTGGCCTGAAGCCCCACCCTCCACCTATCTACCAATCACGAAGTCAGTAGTGTTTCGGCATCCGGGTTGCCAGCTCTGCTCTAGTTGAAAGCTCCTTGTAGCAGCCTACGTTCCTGCTGGATCCTGCAGCCTATCTGGCAACCTCGAGTCAGGGGGGAGGGGGAGGGGATACACCGCTCTACAGTAATTTGAAAGTGATTGCAGTACCAGTTTTGGCCACAATCTTGCATACAGCTCCTTTAATGAACTGTTATGTTTTTATTACCTTAGAATGAGCCATTTCTATCTACATCCGCTTACATTGAAATGCGCCGACATGTTTCTACAGTAGCCCTAAACGGACAAACGCGTTTCGTTACTATTTTGTTCTTCGTGCAAGGAAGCTAGTTAAAGTCAGCGAATAAAACACTGACACAATGATGAACAAGTAACAATAATATTCGCAATAACATATTGTTTTACTGAATAATAACGTAAACATAATTTCTTAATTTATCTTTGTAGAGAAACCACTAGAAATCACACACTGCACCTTTAACTAACATGAATTAACAATGAGCAATATATTTTTCCAGCATTTATTAACCTTTGTTAATGTTCAATCATCATGACACCTCTCAGAACTTTTCTTTCTCAGTCATTGAGTTCATGCATGTTCTTCCTGTAATGCAGACAGGCCTGAGCATGAGTCTACAGTGTTCACTATTATTCCTTAATGAAACTTTCCTCAGGCGGGGTGTTTTTTGTCCAGGAAAGTTTTGTCCTGCAACATGCATCAGCCATTTTCGAGTGGGTCTTCTGTGTCATCATTATGCTGTTCTACGGGACATTCGCTTTTGAATTCGCTGGGATATCTAGTGACACGATGATGGTGCTGGCCCGAGGGCAATCGCTACAGTCTGCAAGCCGAGACCACAAAATGGAGTCTCTTGGTGGAACCAGTCAGCACCAGCCTGAGAACCTTTCTATACTGTAGCTTCAGTGTCTCTCTCTCTCTCTCTCTCTCTCTCTCTATGCTAGAAATAAAAAAAAACACTACAACAGCAGAGGGAAAGGAACAGAAACTGGACCTGGCTCTCGTACAATCGGCTTACCTTACCTTACCTGGCTTACCGGCCAAAGAATCCAGCTCAAATTTTGCACATTTTTGAGAGACTTCTTCACTCTCTGGGGGCCTTTTGAATCCATCAGCTTCCATGCTGGGAAAAACAAAGCTCATTGCCTGGATGTGTTGGAGTTTCCGTTAGATCTCTTTGGGATTGTTAAGTATCTGTGGAACTACAGACTGCTAGTTGGCTAAAATGTCTGCATCCATTGGTGAAACCAGAGGAACGCTACATCAGGGCTGTAGTAAACTAAACCGAAGCCTTTTTGCAGGCATTTTAACATGGTGCCTCAAAACAAAAGTTATTGTGCCAATTTCAGACATTGCAAGACAATGAATCCAAAAATGCTGACGTTTTCTGTGCCTTTAGTTGTTTTCAAAGGCAGAGATGGTTCAATCATATATTTTATTGTTGCATATCACTGCTGTTGCATATCTTTTGCCTTAATCACCATATGCTGTCTGAAACGTCTTGTTCAGGAGATTGTCATTACCAGCGTGCCTTAATACTGAACACCAAATACAGATATTTATTAGACCTGTACGTCGATAGCCAAACATAGCATCTGAAAACTGCCTTGTATATATGGGGCATGTATTTTTTCATATGCAGCAAAAGTTTATAACAGCTAAGCTGAACGAGATCAGCAAAAACCTCTCGCAAAACAGGCGCATAAGCTCATCAAATTAAGTTCTAGAAGTCATGTTAGAGGCAATGAGTATTGCTGTACATTGTGACCAAATGTGTTCGAGAACAGCACTACCTGTTGTTTGTCTTGATGTCTGTGTTCATAAGGTTCCCTTTTTCTGTCACTGCGGAATCGTCAAGGTTTGTTACAAGGAAACGTCTAGTGATGAAAGACTGAGTTTTCTCAGAAGCTGCCCTTTAAGGTGAAGGAGGACTAGTTTATGTGTTCACAGATGTACTAGTTCCATGTGAGCTGTTTGCAGACAAAATGACATGCAGCAGGACTGCAAGATAATAATTGTTTTTGTTTGTTTTGAGAGAAAAAAACAGATGAAGCTTGGTTTACATTGGTCAAATGTTTTCATTCTACCAGCATTAAAAAAAATCATATGGTTCCTTAATCATTATCAAGGGAGTTTTGTCATTTCATTTGTCAGGATAAGAGCCATGTTTATGCTTAACATCTGATGTTACTAGTGCCGTCCAGAAAACGTCTTTCATGTCATTTCAGTTTACTATTTCTTTACGCTCAGGAATTTCAGATCTGTCTCATCACATATTTTTCCTTCTGTGTTCAAGACTGCGTTGATCAACCAGATATGAGAAAAAGTTTTACCGTTTCAGTTACTTGTTTAGATCATTTCCTTCATGTTCCATTATCTTGAAAAGGGGACTGGGTTAACCCCATCATTTGGTTTAATTTGTTGTTTAAACCATTATCTGTACCTCAGAAATATCTCTGATATTGCTTAAAAAGTTCATCCAAAGATAAAAATTCATTATATACTCATGCTGTTATTTTCCCTGTGGAAGTCAAACGAAGAAATTCAAAGAATCATTATGCAGCTCTATTCCACACATGACAATTCAAAGTAGTGACAACCAAGTAGTTCACAAGACTCATGTGGTGTATTTCAAGTCTTCGAAGCCATACAAGACTGGTGAATTTGAAGTTATTTCACTGTTAATATTCCCCTTTGCTGAAGCTGTGAAATCTCATTTGCACCAGCATTCAAAATGCCATGATGATGCATCATTCCATCAGTGCCATCAAATGAGATTTGCCTGATGCAGAATAAGGGAATTTCTGTGAATAATGATTTATATTTCAGTTGGTTCCTCCTGTATAATAAGGTTTCAGAAGACTTGAGAATATGGCACACAAGTCGTACTACAGAACACATTTTTGGAGCTTAACAGACATGAACTGAATTTAAGTAACAAGCTAAAAAAAAAAAAAAAAGTTTCACATGAAAAAAGAGGTCACCGTGAGGGAGAATAGAAATGAAAGAATTGTCATTTGGACTGTTCCATTAAAAAGGTTCAAAGCATTACTTTTCTGTGTTAACCTTTTGCATAGACTCGTGTTCTTCCATGCATTATCTAACCTGTTTGCTCGAAGCGTAATACTGCAAACCTGCTGTCTACATTCAGCACATATCAGCGTTTGGTGGCATGCTGCAAAATAAAAATAAAACCCTTATGTGCCTTTGTTTCAACCAAGGATTGGCTCACTCATTGGAGAATGTTTTGTTTTTTGGCAGAATGCATTTGATTGTGCTGTAAATTTAAATGTATGGAAATAAAGCTGAATCATTACTCTCATTTTGTCTCTCTGTGAAGGAGCAATGAACTTTGAGCAAACTCAAGGCCACGGTGATTGATTACTAACAGGAATTGTGTGACATCGTCTACATAACTTAAGCAAACATTGAATTTGGTTATTCTTCTTTGACTTGTCAGGTGTTGTGCTTCAAATTTTGGTGACCTATTGCAAAATTGTGAATATATGCTAGTAAACATTCGTTGTGCATTTGAAACTTAAATCTGCAACATAATGAAATTATTGGTTGGCATATCCAAAAATTAATGAGTCATTCATTGCGTTTAAAGAGATCCATATGACACTGGACAAATATGAAGAATTTTCCACTTTAATTATTCACAATTATTTACATGTCAGATCTTAAATTCAGACGCTAAAAATCTGAAAGAAAACTGTAATAATAAGAAGGTTTACAGTGTTTTTAAGGATTAATGCCTCTGTTGAACAAATGAGATTACACAGTGGCTTCCACACACATCTCAAGTGTGCAACATAATCTGGCTTTGTTCATAACAGAAGTACATACTCATGCTCACTCTCCAGTGGTGACAATCAATGTCAGACCAGCACAGGATCTGTACATGTAAACATCAAAATTCTCATATTAATATCCCCCTGCCATTGTCCAATAATAATAATGAGATGATGCAGTCAAAAATGAAGCGTAAAAAGCAAATGATCTTATGATGCAAGAAAAAGGCACACAAATTAGACCCTTTTAAGACTGTAAGTATGATGAGAGGAATATGATTCTCGGATCGTAGAACATATAAAAAGCCTAAAGCTTGTAATGGTCCACAATTTCATGTCTCCTCACAACATGCTACTGTAACTTTACTACTGTAAAGACAGAGAAAAGGAAATTACAATGCAGTAAAAACTGAAAAATGATGATTTAAATGATTTGAGATATAAAGCTGAAATGTGTTAGGCATTCGCTTCCGAAAGGAAGATAGCATATTGTATTTTGTCTCAAGCGCAAGTTAGGGTACGTTTACACGACAACAATGTACTAAAAATGGAAAAGTTTTTCCTTTGCATTTTGCGCCTACAGATAACAGCGTTGTCAAAACGATACCTGTTCACAAGGATCCGCAAAGACGATAACCCCCCCCCCCCCCCCAGCTGTATTATGCCAGTAGTTGGCGATGTCACTTTATAAATAAACTACACGCCTATAGACTAAACACAATGCACATGACGTCACCGTTTTCACAAATGTCCATTTTTGTAGATTACACAGAGATGATAACGGTATCGTTTTCAAAAACTTGCACTTTGAATCCCGTTTTCAAAAGTTTTGCCCCACACAAGCCCCCGAAACACTGTAGTCATGTAAATAAACAGCCAAAGCACATAACAAGTTTTCCATTTTTAGCTGAAAACGGTGTTGTCTAAACGGCCTCTAATTTATGATGTACAAAAAAGAGCCACAGTGGTTTTTCCCCAATTGCAGCAACTTCCATTTTTCCCAGGAAGTGATTATTTTGTTCTCTCGAACACGTGGGATGGAAACGGTGCTTTATTCGCAGATGTTTTATGCCATTTTCTAATTTTTAAGTTAAAAGTGCAGTATGTAATATTTGACAGCTAGTGGTTAAAATGGGTACTGTAGTCCAAATTCAAAATATTGGAGAGTTGTTTCCCTGCCCCCTCCTTCTCAGACTCCACACTCATGCAGGTTGCCAGATTGAGGACACGCAACAGCGTAATTGACAATGGAAAGCTTTGAGCCTAAAGCCCAATTTATACTTCTGCGTCGAACTCCCGCCGCAGCTACGTCGTAGGCTTAGTGTAGCGCGCGTACCCTTCGGCGTACCCTGACGTGCACCTCTCCAAAAATGTAACAGCGCGTCAATTCTACGCGGACGCAAGCGCTGTGATTGGTCTGTTAGAACCCCTCCCTCGGGTTTCACATGTTCCCTCTGCATGCGTCAACGCGGACAACGACGCAGAAGTATCAATTAAAACCAACGCGTAGTCTATAGCGTACGTAGAGGCTCCGGAGTAGGTCCGACGCAGAAGTATAAATCAGCCTTTAACCCCAATTTAAACTTCTGCGTCAAACTCACGGCGTAGCTACGACATAGGCGGTGTGTAGAAATACTATTAGGTAAATTGGCAGTGGGTGGGATCACACAGACCAAAACAAAAACAGACATTCCGAAATGGAACGCAATTTCAAAGTAGAATAACATAGCACTGTTTTTCAGAGAAACGAGTATTTCAACTTAGCATGTTTCCTAAATATCTGCAAACATATTATTGTATTTTAGTACTTTAGTACAGTCCAAAAAATTACATGCAGCACCTTTAATTTCACAACTTAGGTACCTTATCAACCCCTAAAAAGTTCACAGTAGTACCTTAAGGTACATTTTGCTACTCTAAGGTGCTAGTATGCACCTTTTAGGGGTAAAAAAGGGTACAAAGATGTCGTTTTAAGGGTACTGCCCCAGTGAAAAGATGTTTTTCACACATTTTTTCTGAGAGTGTTGAAAGAGTAATGCGTTTCGGTAGCACTACAGATGAGTCACTGTATTTACATTTTTCAGGTTTACTGATCACTTAAAGTTGTCTCTATATGCCAACCTCGGATATGAAAT